CACCCCCTCACTCCCATGTGATATTTTGTGATTTTTGACAACCCCCCCCCTCCTTCGAGCCTCACGTGATTAATAGAGGGCCTTAGATAGAATCGAACCCACAGAAATAAATCTAGTTAGAAGGAACATGTTCGTCGATTTATATGGAGACCGAGCGTGCCACATTTTGTGTAGGTATCATGACGTCACGATCTTAATTTAGTGATGGAAGACATAATTTCACTTGCATCGAATACATGTTGTATTTGAAACGGCATACCGATTCTTATCGATTGAAAAACGATATCGATCGACGGAGACCAACGTGTACAGTCTGTCTATAAAGTCATGAAAAGAATGTTTGAGGAACTAACATTAGACACAAGTATCACAACACTGAATCAAAGTACATCGACTGTCAACAACTTGATTTTTTAGCTCGATTTTCTGCATTTTTGATTTGTTTTGATTAAACTGAAGCTACTTCTTCTAAACTCCGTCGAAAAGTGTTAAAAATGAAGAGAATTAATCAGAGTGAAGCTCAGGATATTATTTATAAAGTTTTTCAGTGATGTTTATTGGAACAAGAAGCTGGACACATTTTATCATATTTGTAGAATGTTAAAGCTCGAACAGCAGTAATCGTGTTACTGATTGAGTTTTGGTTACCAGAAGTTTCAAATTTACTAAATATATGAATTTAAGTCTAAAAGAAGTATTGATTACATTATGCATTTATAAGTTAGATTGAAAATGTTAGAAGGCTATATTGTAGTGCGGTCCGAACTTTCAATACTTTTGGATAATCAAATTTATCATTGATTTTAATCTGAATAAAAAATATACCTTTTAGGAATGTACGATTTTTACCTATGTACGCCAATAAAAAGTTTGTGCTTTATATTACTAAAATTATAGCATTAATTTGATCATTGTGGCGATTCCATTCTTTTTGCCAAATACCTATAGGTATTACATTTTTAAAACTTACTTTCAGGAAAATCAGAGAATATAGTGCTACGTATTGTAGATGAAGGTTATAAAAATGGTGGCATATTTGAAACCCCTGGGAAACATAGATAGTCGTCCTAAGAAATAAATGGTTAACTGCAACATTTGTGCACTTCGACAAAAGATTCAGTTCTTTTACTCTGTGAAAAAAAGAGGTACCTACATGAAGAAAACATCAGTGGATTGCCAAAACCGATCTGGATTTTAATTGTAGCCTAGAAGTTCTGCGTTAAATTCTGAAATATATTGGGTTTTCTTACAAGGAGTGTCAAAGTAACAGGCTTTAATCGAACACAAGCACACATTGCAGTAAAACGAGAAAACAACTTGGCAATTATAAAAAAAAAGATTTATCAAAAATTACGATTACTATATTGTAATCTTCAATGTAGAATAAACTCATTGTCTACGAATTATACGCCTTTCTTTACCTTTTCTGGGGTAATAAGAGTAAAAAAAAATCCTACTATCAAAATCATTTGTCTCACTACACAGGGTTGCTACGTGCACGATCGAAGCGCCCTCAATTTTTTTCATGACTTTATAGACAGACTACCATTTTGCTTAAATATTATGTATATGTCACGAACTCACACGTATGTAATTTAGTGAATCGGCGCAAAAAAGATTTTATGCGATAGAATAGAAATCGGCATTTTTCTGTGGGCAAACACTTTGTAGTAGCCGCTACCCCCTCCCGACACGCTACACATTTTTACGTCCTGTGTTGTTATGTTATGTTTCACGGCGGGCTTTTCTGCAACTCGATACTCAGTTCCTATTTTCCAGACACGGGGTTGCTTTAGTCCTGCCACCCCAGCTCCTCCAGGAAGCCCGTAAGATCTCGAACTCTGCCGCATGCTTCCACTAGTATCCTTGGGCTTCATAGATATGTAGTCCTTTTGTCTTAATAGACTCCTGCATTCCAGTATCACATGAGTGTACAAGCGCTTATGTGATACTGGAATGGAGACTGAGGAGACAATCTCCTCAGTCTCCATGCACGCCCTGCTCAGAGGACTGTCAGAATAACCCATGTTATATAGGTGTTTGTTAAAGTTTCCATATCCAGTAAGTATACCTACTATTTGCCTTAGAGTCCTGTTGCTTCAATCCATTTATTTTTAATATTAGGATCATACGGAAAACTAAAACAAAAATTACAGTATAATTCAATATAAAATTAATTATCCTTTCTTCTGCTTTCAAAAACGATATTTTTTTAATCGGGTAAAAAAATCGCATTGCACAGCACTATTCTCCATTTTTGGCCTCCAACAAATTGACCTTGAATTATACATCGATGGTTTTACAAGCACAGCAAATTTGGACTGTCAAATTAAAGCCGCAATGGAAAGCTATTACTAGACACATGACCGTTTTGATAAAAATAATACAGAGCAACAAAACTAATGATTTTTAATTCAAAATAGATATATCAAGGTAAATAGTTACTTACCGATGGAAGGAAATACCTCGACTATAAGATCCAACCATATTGGTGGTGTTTGAGCAGGTAATTATCGAACAACGCATCATTTTAAATTTCGTCCAACACCGATTGCGATCGAAAGTGGACTGAGCCTCGCGGCGAGCAATGAAGCTGTCTAGACGTCGTTTCGGCACGCGAAGTACGTACACTTTTTCCTTCTAACTAGATATATTTCTGTGATCGAACTAAATTGAATCGGGAAATTGACCCACAACTCGTACTCACTGCGGATTAGTGGATTAACTGCAGATACAACCGGGACCAACCGCTTAACGTGCCACCCGAAGCACGAAGGCGTTCGGGATGGTACGGTACATTTTTGGTCATCCGGCCATTGTGAAAATTTGCTTAAAAACCGTATCGCAGACCAAGCGCGTTAACAACTGCGACATCAAGCTCCTCTTCTTCTTCTATTTATAGTGTGATGGTATGGATTGAGTTTTATTACTAGCTTAAACAGATTTATCGTTTCACCAAACTAGTAACGTTTGGTGATGCTTTACAAAGCACTTGCTTGGATATCAACGTTTGTCTATGATTTCGCATGCCTTATTCCTCCTTTTATTTTGTAATGTATAGACTATTCGCCTTTACACAATTCCATTAATGTCACGGTTTGGCCTTTACACGTTTAATAACGAAAATATATTATTTTGAGGTAATAAAATGAAGAACATTATACGTGGTCTTGTATTTACACGAGTGACCAAGTCGTCTTTGTATTAAAAGTGCGAAAAATTCAAAATGTCTTGTTGTTTATTTACATTAATTCTAATATATGAACTACTCTATTCCAATTTATTAAATTGATTTTTCCCTTGACACAATCCGTTATGGCTAAAGAGTAAATGTATCTGTCATATTACGCTAAAGAGAATTTAAACACTACGTTTTAAGAAACAGGACTCCCATAAAACGACACCAGAGTTTAGGAAAGTTTCCACCAACATAGGAATAGGAATTTGTCTATGGATCAGTGCTACCAACATAAAAATACTAAGTCGTGATGTGAAAAAAACAATTTATCGATATTAGCTATATTGAATGAAAAATAGATTAGCAGTATAAGATAACAAGGAAAAAGGGTGTTATTTTTTTTTAATTATTTGTACTTTCAGCATAAGAGCTTGTTAACGAACTAATAAAGTGCGATTGGTTTACAATCACTTAAGATGTAATAAACCCGCGAAAATGCTTTCTTGACAATTATCATTTATACAGTACATATAGGATTACGACATGAGTTTACAGTTAATAAAATTATTCATGGAAATTGTCTTTTAAACAACACCTATCTCGAACGCAGACAATTACCCGTCCTTCTGGATGATGGAGACAACTGGCAAGGGAGACTCCTTGTACACTCCTTGACTTCTTGACCCTCGTATCCGATTGAAAGAAGTAATTACTTGAGAATATGTCATAACTTATATAGTTTTACCAAATAAACAAGAATTTGAGTGAAGTAAGAACTGATGATAGTTACTTACTTCATTTAAATTCTCGTCTATTGGTTAAAAAAATTCACTTAACTTATAAAATTTTCTCTAGTAATTGCTTCTCTCGACTAAAAATGCGAGTTTACAGTCGGTCGGGTACGCGTCGCAGAGTATTAATTCTGTGGTTATGCGTTCAATCTTAAGTATTAGTGAGTTTATTCGTATAAATTTATTATTAACCTTAATGTTATGTGTTAAGCCGATTTTTGTAGCATTTTATATGCATCTATTAAAGTATTTCACAATTTTGTACGGAATTTTTAATGATTAATTATGCATATTTAAAGCTGACATACCTCAGCTTGTTGAAACATGACGGAAATTTTTCGATTTGAATGAATACCTTAGATTGCTGTTTTTGGAAGTTCAGAGAGTTTATTCTCAGTCGTATAGTTGAGTACTTTGTTTTTGGTTATTGTGCTTCATGTGCATATTTTGTAACTCAGAATATTGTGCAGAACAAATATAAACATTTACTCATGTAATCAAAAATATAGTAGAGAAATTTAAAAACTTATACTTCTAAATAATCGTGGATTAGGTTTATGGAATAAGTATTTTGGCGTACTCATACTTGCAGGAATCCCATAGAGCGACTACGAGCGAACTCTTATTCCACCAGGCTAACGATATGGCCTATTTTTTTATAAACTTTAAAGGACTATTTTTTGTATAAAGTTGTGACAAACCTAAGCCGAATTTTAAGCGTTGCTTCAATAAGTTAGGTGGCTCCTAGTCAATGGTGAAATGCAATTTCATTTTAGACAATGCCCAAATATGTCCTACTCCAAAATATGGGCGTCTCCTAAGTTTAGTTAAACCGCCATAATTGTTATTAAAATATCTATTATTAAGACACGACGCTCACCTGCACTGTTATTTTGTGAAATATTCCGCGTCGAACTCAACGCTTTACTCAAATCTGTAGCTGATGGTGTTGATGTCGTGCATTTCAAAATAAGACATACATTACTTTTTCTTTTAGGTACTTAGCAGAAGCGAAAGATTACCTAAAAAAGATGTACATCGTACACACCATTCTACTCTTCCACTGTTGCATCAACTCTAAGACCGGCGCAGTGGACAACGATATCTGCTCCAAAATGGAGAAATGGGAACAAGAAGTCATACTTCGATTCTGTGAGAAACTAAGCGAGATGGAGACTACTATCAATAATGTAGACTTATCTATCAAAGGTATATCATACAGGGCAGAAGACTCGTTGCCTAAATATCTAATTTTTATGTAGACTTAAAAATTAGATATTTAGGCAACGGGTCTTCAGTTGTGATAGTGATCTACGGAATTGTGTAACTTGTAAAGTCACAATCGCTTTTTGAACGAATGATGATTTGAATGATATAAATGTCGTAGATAAATAGTTTCGTTTAACATTTCTAAATAACCTACAAAGTTATAAGTAACTATCACTTTGCTTAGACAACTCCGATTGAAGTCAAATAAAAGTTATCGTTCATTCAATATCGTTCAAAAAACCTCGCGATGATAATAGGGATGACGACTGGGTAAAATAAAAGAAATTCTATTGAGTCTGTCAATCAGATAATAGAAAAATATTAAATACGTATTTTTTTTTCAATTTAAACATGAAATGGCTTAAATAGTAGCTAATTAAAATTCGAGGAGCTAGGGCTCGCTACGTCACAGCTTTGTAGAAAATGTACAAAAGCACGCTTTCATGCGCCGTCACGACGTCATCCGCCATTTTAACTTAATATATCGCCGCAATAAATTGATTATGCATAAAAATAAAAATTACTTATCTATTATTCTTCAATAAGCTACCTGACGGATAAACATACAACAATTTGTCGTCAACCCTATTGCTATCACATGTCAAATAGTTGTAGCGTGAAGTTCGTGAATATATTTCAAATGTCAAATTAAAAGTGATTGTGATTGATTTTAAAATAAGACAATTATGCCACCGGTTTTGGTCATTGACCTTTTTGCTATTTGGAACTTTAAGGCGTTCTAACTTACGTTCTAGCTTAAATATAGTACTTTGACAGTGAAATTTAGCATTATTTAGCATTATGATGTATCAAAGTTCATTTACTCATAACTCTTAATAATGACAACAATTAGGTCTTAATTTTAAAATAGTCAAAATTGGATCATCTGCCCTACGACGGTTAAATGTTCAAACAAGTAGTTAAAACCCTGATAAGGAAATCCGAAACAACGAGAGTCTATGGGTGTTATTTAGCCAAGAGATCATCAAAGGAAGTAACTTTATAAATATTTAATGAAGAGTTAAAATTTAAATTAGTTTTATTTTTCGTTTCAGAAGCTTTCGATCAGTACAATAATTTGCTCAGTGAACGAGATAAAAATTCCAACAAAGTTGTTTCAATGCCGTCTACTGCGCCAAAGTCTGAATCTGTCGAAACGCCCGACATGGCTACTGGGAATTCAACCAAATCACCTGCACTGAAGTTCAAATCTTCTGTGACAGTTTTACCTTCTTATGTCACTGATTCTTCATCTTACTCCAAATCTGACGTCTCTTTTGTAGAAGATGTATATGTTGCTGATAATAAAGTCGCATTGAATGTTCAAGGCGATGGAAAAAATGTTACACAACTGCGTTCTACTGAATCGAGTAAGGCCCTATCAATTTTTGGTTACTTATGTTGAAAAATAATATACTAAATTACTCGTCTGACTCGTAAGACTGAAGTTGGCTTGACGTGACGGGTATACGAGTTGTCGCAATTCGCTGCTTAAGCTAGGACACTGGACAATAACTATGATATCTTTGCTGAAGTCACTTTCAAAGACACTAATGGAATCATCCCTAAACAATAGTCTAAGCAGAGACAGCTTAATAGACCAATACATTAAAACCGAATAAAATATCGTACATACGTCCACTTTTCTTATCGGCATGTTGCTCAAATAAGTAATTTCTCGTTTGCAATCATATTTTCCTGGATGTAGTATCCAAATATCGCTAATCCGAAAGATATTTTATAATAAATGAATATGTGTGGAAGATTAATTTGATTCTCAAGCGTCAGATCTGTTCGTGTTCAATATTATTAATAACACGTTCATAAACGTAAAATTCTTCTATTATATATTATTCCGCCAGCGGCTTCGCGCGCGTTTTCTTGTATTGTACATAAAAACCTTCCTTTTGTATCACCCTATCTATGAAAGTTGCGAAGCTTTAAAGATTTAAGCATACATAGGGATATATGGACAGAGAAAGCGACTTTGTTTTATACTAAGTAGTGATTTTCTAAAACGTTAAATTTTGTGATACATATGTGTTGTGTCTTGCGATAAAATGTGCTGTGTTTTGTTTCAGGATCATAATCCGAGATTAAAAATTAAAAACAACTAACAGATAATAAAATTTTTACCTTTGTTTTACATACGAGAATCTATTGTATGGGTGATTCTTGGGAAATGTGTTCTCCGTGTAATTTCCAGGGCATTTTTGAAATCGCAAAATTATGGTGAATTATATAAACATTTCGAAAACTTCTGCAAATTTAAACAACATATTAAAATTGGCCACGACTGAGATCTATACTTTTGCTAAAAATAAATGTAGAAAATTGACGGACCATGGAAATTACAATAAAGGCAACGGAAATTACACAGCAGATAAAATTTTGCTAAACACCATGTCATATATGAAATTAAGCTGTCATATTAGTTAGGGTTAAGATCTGCCTACATTATACTGAAACGATATACGATAGTACTTACTCAAAATTGGAACGAAACGTAAACACGTTCATGTTCTCAAAAAACAAAATAATACAACGTGTTATGGAAATCAGGTGGTAGCTCAGCCCATAAAACTGAACAACTTTCACTATGAGACCAACATTGAAATTTCAGCAACTGGCAAATTTTTCGAAGTAACGTTACATCGGACAAACAAAAGTCGGGCGTCGAAGTAAGATATGCGATGTATTGAAACTTCGAACAATGAAGGCTTCGACGTACTCGTATAGTTGTCGATGTATCAATTATCGAAGAAACGTATTTTGAAGTGACATAGAGAACCCTTTTTCGAAATAGTTATTTATTTTGTCAATTATCTTATAAAAAACGCATCCTACGTCAAATATCAATAATTAATTTATTGTAAATTTAATTGGCTTTCATTTACCACCAATTTGGTACCTGTAGGGCCAGTGGTTTTCTCAAAAACGATAGATAGCGAACACATGTCATAAGTAGATATTAGGAGGTTATTTCAGTCAAGATAACCCCCTTGGCTATCTATCGTTTTTGAGAAAATCATTGGCCCTACAGGTACCAATTTAGTGTTTAATCAAAGTAAATTTTTACAATAAGTAAATAAATTATATAATATGTTAACTTAATCCGGTGATATTTAAGACGATTTAATAAAAAAAAAATAACCAACATTCAACATTTAAGTCTGTATTTGGCGATGGCGTGCATTTCATTGAAAACAAACATTGAACATAACGTTTGTTTTTTTTCAACCAAAAAGAAACAAGGTAATTTCCATGGGTGATACGTAATTTCCATGGTGTTTTATCCATGGAAATTACACCATGGAAATTACCAAAAAACATATATTTTGCAATTACTCTGCATTGAAAAGATATAACCGGCTAGTTTTTTACTGTTTATCTACATTATAGAGCTAGATATTTCACCTTAAAACCCATTTTCTAGAAGAAGTACAATTATATTGAAAAAATGTGATATGGCAAAGCCGGATAACTGAGAACCAAAATTTAAGAAATTGAAGAACTTATTCTCGCAACGAAAGCGCGGGAAACAGCGACGTGCCCACCTCACCTGCTAGCTGCGGCGTAAATGACGATTCGTAAACACCAATCGGAGTGCGTCTACGCCTCTCCAGCTCAGAACAGTATCTCGCGCAAGGCGCGCCGCGAAAATTTTGCTAGGCGTGTGACACGTATACTTCTGACCATAAAATCAAAAGTTTCCTTCCGATTAATTTGAAATTTGATCAATATGTAAACCGATTTGTCTTTTTTAAATTTGTGTTACAAACTGATTAAAAACGTGGGTAATTTCAAAAATATTTGCGATTGCTCAAAAGACGGCGCGCGTGTGACACGGTAAAAACGTGCAAAATTGACCGGATTTGAGGTGTTGAGGGTAAGTTACTCCGATTTATGTCGTTTTTTATCCGTGAAATCTATATGACACGATGCGTAATGAAATGAAGAAACGATGTAATAGTAGTTTTTATCATAATAATTTATTTTTATAGGAGATATGTCCCTGTGACACTCAAAAATTGCTTTTTCAAGAAGTACCCGTATATTCAATATGAAATTGGCAAATAATATACTAAAGCGCAACTAAGCTGTTAAGGCAAAAAAGCAAGATAAACAAAAATAAATTATTGATCAAATCTAGTACAGACTTGTTTTTGATTTAAAAGTATTCAAATTGGTAGCATTTACATAACTCTGTTCAATATTGGAATATTCCTAAAGAGAAAATATAAAAAAAAAACTCGTAGTTTGAAGGTCATTATATAATGATATCTTGAAGGTCATAATATCATCTCAGGAAGGCTTGGCATTCAAAGCGAAAGATTCTTTTACCTAAGGCTATCAAACGCTGATGCTTTTGATTAAATTAGCCGTACCCCGTAGCATTACCACAGCAAGTGGTTACGAAAATTTGAAAATTACGCGGTATTTATTTTTGAAAATTCTTCTCTACAGTCACAATCATCGAGCTATTCATCTTAGTTTGTTCACCGTGGTCTTATATAGCTGTTTCCTAAAGTCTTCGCACCTATTTTAGACACGTAGTTGGCCTACCAGTCAAAAAACCCATTGTATCCACACATTACAGTCCAGGCTCCGGTAAGTAACAAGGAATACCGGTACTTCACAAAGGTCTCCACTACAGAGGCTCAGGCCTTCCTTATGATTAGTTAAAGAGGATGGACCATGTCCCTCCGTGCTGGCCGATAATTGGAGGGTCGGTCACGGGATAGGTGACCGAAAATTTACTATCTCGGGCTACTCTGTGCTTCGAAAATCGTGTTCAGCTGTTTCGACTGCATTTGGAGATGTTAATACCCTCCAATTTGCATTGGGCCAGAGTGGAGGGTTACAGAGTTGTGCAGTATATGGCATAAAAACAAAATATATAAAATTTACAACCTATAATAACTTCGAATAAGATAATTTTGGTTAATATATCGATTATTTCATATATGAAATGCAAAATATAATTTTGAAACATATAATTTTGAAAGAAATATCTCTCAATTAATACAATTTTATGTGGTATAATATTATATAATGTTTTATTAAACTTATGTAGTATAATGTTTTAAGCATATAACACTCATTTAATCTAAACCCACATTATATATTTTAACATTTAGTATAAAAATCATATCATTACATTTAGTATATTAATGATATCGTGTTATATTCAACTCTTATAGTAGTCACTTTATATAAAAATCAATACTTTTGCCAGCAACTTTATTTGCATGATATTTTCAGTTGTTTTATTTTTAATCATCTTCAAGAAATAAAAATAGGTTTTTTAATTGACTATTGTTTTGTATCCATATTGCACTTTTTTATGTGAAAGAGTATCTTCTCCCAGAATCCCATTAAAACTTTGACGAAATTTGATCAGTAGTTTTGTTTTAATATAACAAAAAATACAATGAGAGCTATTTCGCCTAAATCATTTTGATGTGGTGGTTGCCACATTGGACTTGCCACATTGAAATATAAATGTTTATTTTCATAAATAAACAGACTCGTAAAATAATTCTTATTGGTATAAGAAATTAAAATTACAGTTGAAGTCAGACGTGTAAAAACTAAGCCTAATCAAATCTTCGACTGAATCAAAATTGAGTATATTGAATTTATAAGAATAAGAATTTGTTTCGATTCGTTTGAATGTTTTCGTCGAGTTTTTTTTTATGAAAATAAAAACTAATTATTGGTTTTAAATGAATAAGAAAGTATGTAAACAAATGATTCCCCATACTAACTTCTATCCGTCTTTTCATCCCTTCGTAGGCTTACAATATGATATCTAATTTATATCTTATTTAGTGTCTCATAATACAAAATTTCATCTAAACGGTTAAAGACCGAGTTAAATTTCTTTTCTGTAATTAGAAAGGATAGTTAACGAAGAAAGAGTACCACTTCTCTGGTAAAACAGGTAAAGTTGTAAAAATAAAAATCTCTTAGTACCTATCCACTTCTTAAGACTGATGCCAAAGTGAAGGCGTAGCCCTGGAATTTAATAATTTATACAAATTTTATTTCGAGAGGGTTGGTTTTCTGGTAGCCAGCATTAACCGTCAGTCTGGTACGATATAATCAAGTAGAAAACAAAAATCCCGACTGCGTAAAAACGAATTTAAAAATGAATACATGAAAGAATTAACTTTAACAAAAACTAAAAAGAAAGAAACAAGCCCAGTAGTTTTTCTTTAAATTATTTATTTTTATTTTATACTTTTTAGTTACAATTCGTTAACTTCGTTATAAGATGGTAAATTTCGCAATCAAGTTATTTCATTGAGGGAATTAATATCGTGGGGATTATTAAGTAACTTGCGGTGGTCTAAACTACTGTTGATTAGTCCCTCTAGAGACCTTACTCGGCTTAAAGCTTTATTTTTTTTACCAAAAATATTTGTTCTTCATGGTTTTTCACTGTTTTTTTTTTGTTTGTATATCGTTTATACTTTAAATAAAAACTTTAATCAATAAGTAAGAAAATTAGCGAGAATGTTTTGTTAAACAACTTTAAATCGTTATATATCCTAAACTATTATTTAAAATAAAAAATGATAAAAGGAACCTAAAGATGATTTTAAAATACCCATTCAACGATAAACCACTTTACATAGTTCATCGATTTTAATTTTTTTCATTTAGACAATATGGCGTTTTGTTGTCGCTGTGGTGAATTTTGAGTACTGTCATGTCTTTAGTGACACTCGCAAGGTTAAGACGAATCGATTGACGTAAGAATCATCAAAATCGGCCTACGAATTTGGTCTCTAGAACGCCACATAGAAACAAACATACATACATAGACTGATAAACACATTACCCTCCTTTGAGTCGCGCAGTCGGTTAACAAGAAAAATAGAGGTTTTAATCCTTGTTGACGAGGAGGATGATAGGTGCGATAGGACAAATATATGAATAGTAGTATATTGTATCCTCGATATTATTTACGTTATATACTCGATATAATGACAATCGTTTTAGAGATCCATATCCAAAGGGTAAAAAACGGGACCCTATCACTAAGACTCTGCTGTCCGCCCATCTGTCTGTCACCAGTAGTTCTCATGAACCGTGATAGTAGGACAGTTGAAATTTTTACAGATGATATATTTCTTTTGCACTATAATAATAACAAATAATCAAAAATAAAATAATCCGAGATTTAGATTTTTATCCAAGGTGTTTTTCTGACACACACAGAGAGCTGCCAACCTGGCTGTGCTTGCATTCGTTGCAGCGTTTCTGGACAATGCTGTGGTAATCCAGGGAATTCTATCAATATGTGCAAAGAATCCAAAAGGAGGATATTAATAAATTGGCAGTTCGGAAGGTAAGACCTTCAACGTAAACTTGAATAACTAGACAAATGACTGAATGCATTGACAAAACTGTTTTTTTGACATGATCGGCAGTTGTTTCAGAGTACTGCTATAGTTTGAGATGTGTAGTTAATATCTAGATGGAGAGTATGATATTAAGTTATGAAGTGATTGATTGGATCACAAATTTATTATATCGAAGTTCTATAGTATTATAAATTCTATAGAAACGCGGTCACGAGCAGCAATTTTTTGTTCATTATAAAAGTAATGGTAACGTTATTAGGAAATTGAAGAAACCAGTTTTGCACAGAATTATATTTTCTTTATGTATGTAGGATTGTATCATTTTTAATAATTTTGTGAGCGCTGATAACCCTTGCCTTCTGAACCAACACTATAATTTCATTTAAGGATATTTAAAGGAATAAGTGATTTTTTATTATTATTTATAATTGGCTCACTCTTGAACTCAATTTATTCCAAGGACATAATAGAGTCATAATTTACAAAAATCATCTAAACAAAATCTATGCTCTTAATATTAGTATACAATTTTAATCCAGGCGCATTTTCAATATAAATATGATTTGTAGATACACGGTTCCTTCACTATTTAGTTAGCGTAGAGTACGAACTAATTTCACAAACCTAACATGAGCTATCCATTCATTCGTTTCTTATAGAAACAATGTAAATAATAGAACATTAACAAAGTTGTCATTGGATTCACATTTAATGTTCAAAGGTAATTATCAAATAATGAATTAGTTCTCTACTTAAGAGTCTCTACATGTGCATGCAATTGTATTTAACCAAATCACAAAATTTTCGAAATTGACTATAACTCTAGCCATAAGATTCCTAAGATGTATAATGGCGATATTTCGTTTAATTTATCAACTTTGACTTTTAATAACGACAAAATATTGATGAAGAATGATGATTATGGATTTGACAGCAATGTTATCAATAGTCATTGAACCATCTAAAGACAATTATAAGACTTGTCAAAGTAGAAAAATGAAACTATGTAAATGTCGTTATAATATTCGCCAAGATGTATCCTTAAGCTGAAATATTATATAATTTTAATATTTTTTTTTTCAGATGGAATGTTAAAGATAACTGGCGTATTTATTTAATTTTGTTAACTGGCTTTTTTGTCATTGTTATTACAATTTCTTTACTTATATCGTTTCTCGACTCTAAAAAATCTAGTCCACATAAGCGATTGATTGCCGAAGAGTTGAGGTGGGTAAATACAAAGTTTGGTAGATTAGATTATTTCAATTTTTTTCGTCTACTGCCCATTTTGAGAAACAATTATTTTCTAGTACCCCACGAAATTACGTTATTTCGAATGAATCAAGTAAATTAAAGTTGCAATTTTATAATTTTAGCTTATTTACTTCAAATGCTTGGCAATGTGAGAAAGGTTTCTGCCAGAAAGTACACCAGCCGATTAGTTCGAACATATATTTCACTTCATTGAGTCGGTGCTCTTTGTTATGTTCAGGCCCGCAATTGTGGCCATATCCTATAGGTTACACGCATTTTAGTAAGAAATTAGTAGCTTTGGCTACGAATAAATTAGAATACAAGTTTCAATCGATACCGTCAGAGAGCGTGCATCGATATCTCGCCGAGGCTTTCAAATTGTTTATCGGTGATTTGATAAAATTGGAAAAATCAGATGTGAATGAACATAACGAAACTGATTTGACTGTTAAAAAGATGAATATAGTTATTGATGTTGAAAACGACCCTGATCCAAGACTTAGGCATGATACAGATGAATCTTATACTGTTAAAGTGGAAAGCTTACCAAACCAACAAGTATATATCAAGGTTACATCGCCTTCTTTCGCTGGTGTGAGACATGGCTTGGAAACTCTAAGCCAGATGATTCTACTTGATCAATTTACTGGTTATCTAATAACGTTATCTAATAGTTTGGTAAAAGATGCCCCAACGTACAAATATAGAGGTTTAATGTTAGATACTGCTAGGAATTATATACCTGTAGGAGATATAATGAGAACTGTCGATGCAATGAGCACTGTGAAATTGAACACATTCCACTGGAGAATTTCCGATGCGACAAGCTTCCCCTTGTTTTTACCTGAAGTGCCACAGCTATTTGAATATGGAGCATATGATAGATCAATGATTTATACTAAGCAGAATATTGTATCTGTAGTACGCAGAGCTGGGGTTAGAGGTATAAGAGTTTTGATAGAAGTAGCCGTTCCTGGACCAGTAGGCAGAGCTTGGGAATGGTCCGCTGATAGGACTTGTCCTAAGAAGACTGATAATGTGTCATGTGATAATGTTTTGTGTTTACGATTGAGAATGAAGAAATCAATTTTTGATGTCCTTGAAACTATCTATAGACAAATAATTGATCTAACTAAAGTTGATGATGTGTTTCATTTGAGTGATGGATTGTTTTCTTTGACAAATTGTTACAATCTTATTGATGATAGAGAAGGATTTTTGGAAAAGGCAATTGTTAGATTGAGGTCAGCCAATAATGGGGTCATACCTAAATTGCCTATTGTATGGTATTCGACGCACCTGATTAAGGATTCTGATGGAATGGCATGGTATAGGAGAGGAGTACAAGTTAATAAATTGATTCCAGATCCCGGAAACCAATATCTTGGTAACTTCAGAGTTATCCATTCCAGTAGATGGGACTTATCTTGTCAAATGCAAAAAAGTAGATGTACAAAATACAGGTAAATATTTAGCGCATTATGGTAGAATATTTATTTTCATTATGCTTTTATTGAAGTGCGTACTCGTAGTTTTTACTTACGCGGAATAAGAACACCTATTTGAATGTATTTTAGTTTCGTTATTTAAAGAGGTTTATTCCGGAAATAACTAATAAGTAATATGTTAAATAACATGAATTGTTGTTTATTGTGTATGTATTAAACTTCTCGTTTTCTCTTTTTGTCAATGATACTGTGATTTTGTTGATTTAACTATTATATATTTAATGTTGAATTTAACCTTGAGTTTACAATTGCTGAGATTGATTTGTTGATTGGTTGGAAAATAAGTAACAAATAGGCATTTATTTCATCATCCTTTTTTATATAACTATGAAGAACAGGACATAATTAATGCGTCGTAAATGATCAAATACACAGGCAAATTACATCAGATTCTTTGAAACAAAACAATTCCAATATATAAGACCCATTAATAACGGGTTATAATATATCATCAAAAATTTGTTTAGTTCATACTCAAAATACTAATACTATTTACGAGTAATAGCTCTATATATCAATAGCAATAGCTATCGATTGATTGGCCAACATTATAAATATAATTTTTTAATATATTTTTTTAAATAGCCACAATCGGGTCGCTTACCGTACTTCCAGGGAGAAGATACTCTTGAGAGCTAAAGGGCATATTGTTAAAAATCATCTTTCTATACATCTTGAATTTCCGACTTCGGACATGTCGATCATTGAAACATTTCTTGAAGGTTATTTACCGCTTATGTAAACTCAAAACAAGTTGCGTTTAATAGCTGCCATCTTATTATCTAGATGCTTTACTGCGACTTCACCCGTCATTCGCGTATGATGGATAGAGTCTTGTCATTTTAAATTTTCCAGTTCTATTCTATTTAAAGGTAGCGTGATATTCTGAAATCAAAATTCATAAATGTTGCTAAACGTGTCTCGAAGAATGCAAATATTTAAGTAAAATGTAAATCGATTCAACAGGACATGGCAAGAAATGTATTCATGGAAGTCTTGGAAGAACGTTGAAGTTTTCTCGATTGAAGGTGGGGAAGCTATGCTGTGGACAGACCTCGTAGATTCAGGTGGGTATCTTAACATTAATACCAATATTTAAGAGATATGATAAATTTCGTAAATACTCTACATATGTGGGTCTCACAAGTGGGTCTAAATTTTATTGGTTGTGGTAGTGCAGTGATGTCAGTTTGATCAATGGCATTTGAGACAAAAATTTACGACTTATTAATTAGTAGACCTAAAATTGTATTCTATGGTGATTTATTTGAACATCCCTTTTCTATCAATATTAAATTCGAATTGTGATTTGTAAAATTAAACAACTAGCGTATTAACCCTATGTTCTTTGTTGTTATTTTGAGCTTGATCTTATTCTTTCTTCTGAGTGTGTATTGTTATTTGTTGTATTTATGTATATCGGTAAACAAAAATTTTGCCCGATTCTATTTTTTATCATTGGTTCATCTCATTATTTTTATTTTTTCTTGGGTATTGCTTATTTAATAGTTTATTTAAAATGCTTTAATGCATGTTAGAAGTAATAAACAATCAATTTAAAAATATTAAAGAAACTATTTATTTGGATACAGTCACGACCCACAGAACACCTCTTTTCCGTGTTCTGTGGTCACGACCCACCCACGCCCGATTTTATTGACCACCAGTACATTTCTTCTACTTCTAACTGTTTCTGATAAATTACATCGTGTCTTTGTTTTTCGCTATACTTCATGAGCACTTTATGTTTTTAGGTAATTTGGATTACCATCTTTGGCCTCGACTGTGTGCGGTGGCTGAGCGTCTTTGGTCTGATGCGACAGCAAACGCTAGTGCCAACGCATACACGTACGCCAGACTCGATGCTCATAGGTGAGAACATTTATTTACACGACTTACTAAATGAAATAAGTCAGAAGGTTTTGGCCATGGCTCTCTTTTTAGCCATTTGGAACTTCAAAATGTTCTAACTAACGCACAGGCAAACATATTACTTTAACGTGATCGGTCTTTAAAATGTTGCATTGTAGCAAAACTAACAACGTTAACATCTATGGGGTGTTAAAGTTAAGGGATTGAATAGACTAAAATCGATAAAATTTAGCTTGAATCTAAACTTAATAATAATAATATTTATTTCCCAGAATATTATTATAAGCAGATGTCAGGATTAAAATGTTTAGCATATTCTACCGTCATTGGTGTGGAAATATTAAATCTTAATTAAAGTTATAAAAAGTCATAGATCTAGTCATCAGATGAATGTTATGACATGGTATTTGATTTGACATATAATTTGAATATATGTCAAATCAAATACCATGCCATAACATAAATATAAATCGTATTTATTTTAAAGTCAACTGATACTTTTACTAATTATATTTCATATTCCAAAAAATCCTTTATTGAGTCAAAACATTCATCAAGCAATAAATTAAATAATACATATTTAAGTTTGTTCGTAGTTAATTCCTTTATTTCAGCAGGCAATTTATTAAATGTTTTAATAGCATTACAAAATGAGTTATCACTATACATTTTTAATTTTTATGTAAAGACATAGCAATGGCAAGATTTTAACTCTTTGAAATGTGGTTTACAGTGGTCTAGGTAATGAGCTCTACATATAGACCTTATACATTTTTTTGCGTTATGAATGCCCTATTTATTTCAACCGAATTGCCCAAGATAAAAATACCGTAGTGTAACACAGAAGATACATATCCATGAAAGCCACTAAGGCAGTTTCTCGATTTACAATGGCTCTCAAGCGCCGGTGAGGAAAAACGAATTTGTAAATTTTTGTGCATACCTTATCCATATGGCCCTTACAGTTCAAGTTCATATCAATAGTAACCCCCCGAAAAGATGAATATTCCACTTGCGATACGGAAGAGTTTCCATAAGTCACATTAACAGAACTTGTTTGGTTATTATAAGGGTGGAAGTGTATTACATTACTTTTCTGAAGGTTCACATTTAGATAGTTTTGGTCTAACCGCTCTATAACTATCTTAAGTTCATTATTACAATCAGTCGGGAAATAGTATACAGTCATGATTTAATGCTTCTGGGAGGTCATTTATACAAAGTAAAAAGAGTAAGGGTCCTAGTACACTCTCTTGAGTAATACCTGACCCATTAGTTTTTGAAGAAGATCGAACTGATATCTTTTTGTTATTTACTATTTTTGAAATATCTGTGTATTTTTCACGGTTTGTTGAGTAAGTTTGTAACCAATTATTAACCGTACCCCTAATTCTATATTAATTTACTAAGTTAGTAAACGGTAATGATAAACAAAATCAAACGCTTTGGTCATATCCAAAAATAACCCCAGTACTGATGAACCATTATTTACGGTCTCTGTAATTTCTTTAACCAACCAGAAACAGGCCAATGTGGTAGAGCCATGCTTGCTAAATCCAAACTGTCTTGGTGTGAGAATATTATTAATGTTTATGAAGCTAAGTATTTTATTTAACATGGTAATGTTAAATAAAATACTTAGCTTCCTTCTTCATGAAGAAGGTATTCTTAAATACCTTAGACCGAATGGGTATTAGCGTGATAGGCCGATAATTTCCCGTATTATTTGAAGTACTCTTTTTGAAAAGGTTAACCACAGACTTTTATAATCATGTTGTAAATAATCCCTGTTCAAAAGACTTAATTATTATATGAAATACTGGTGATGCTACTAATATTGCGCCTTTTTTAATTATTTTAGTTGTTAGCCCGTCATATCCAGTACAACTTGTTTCTTTCAAAGATCTAATAATTTGATATATATCTGATTCACTTACAGGTGTAACAGACATACTATAATTTTTCCGATTTTAATTTCATATGTTCCTTATTTTGCTTAGTTAAATTAATAAAATAATCATTAACACTTCTGCATTGTCATAAGGTTTGGTCATTTGCCTTTATTTTCATAATATGATTTAAATAAGATTTAGATTTGTATTCTTTTTAATTAAATTCTAAGTAGCGTTGCGTTTTTTTTTTAGAATTACTGGTAAATTTTGAATAAATTAACTGCTGCGATCTATAAATGCATTTTTTTAGAATTGTAGTATAATTCTGATATTGTTTTTGTTTAAAATATTTATTAACTGATTCGTTACGGTATTTAAAATATAATTAACTTTTTTGCACTACTTTTTAAGGCATTTGGATAGTCACTTATTTTTTATAGTATTTTTTGCTACTTTTATCCAAATAACTGGAAAACACAAATCATAAAGCATCGTGATCTAGTCATGAAACAGATCAAAAGAGTTTTCACAACCATCGACTTCAAATATTTCACAAAATTAAGATAAATAGTAACAGAATTTTCCGATATTGTCTTGATTAAAGTAACATCTTTTATCCAACCAATGTATCGCCGTTTTACAATTTTTTATGTTTCTTTATGCTATTTCAAACAATACCGATTGACCCGTCTCATGATCCGACAAACCTAGTTCATATATGTATCCTTTTATTTCTGACAACTCTATATTTGAAGCAATTTGGTCTAAACATGAATTTCTTCTCGGGGGTAGGTTTATGTGCATAGATAAGTTAAATTTCGATAATATTGACTTTAGTTCCTTTGACTTCAAAGTATCTTCAAGAATATCGATATTCCAATCTCCACAAAGTATTAAAGTTTTTTTCCTATTATGGGTTATTTTTCTAAATAAGTAGTCAACTTCTTAAAATAGATGTTCAAATTTGCATTCGGTATTCTATAAATACTTATAATTAAGAGATCATAATCATGTATTTCAACTCCACAACATTCAAAGGCGTAAGGACTAGCCAACTGGGACACTACTTGCAAAAGTGAGCGTACCCTTAGTCTCGTCTGACCAGTATAAAGGAACCCTCCGTCTCTGGTGTTTCCTACTGTAAGAACAAACTAATTTATAATTTGAAAGTCTCAGATTACTTTCAAACTTTTGTTTTAGAAAAGTTTCTGTAAGGAATATGAAGTCTATTCTACCAATTTTGTTGCGAAGCTCGTCAATCGTCAATTCAAAAATGTTTTATTCGGCATATCTGCTATATTTTAATGGAATAAGTTAAAGTTAAGGGCTAGGTTACTATAACAATTACTCGTATTATTAGTCTCGAAAAAACTCATCTTTTTTACTTTAAAATTAAGTGGTATAGTACCTGGTCTTGGTGAGGTTGTATACCTATTTTTATATTGATAATTAATGGAAGCAATAAAGTTTAATAGATAGTCAAAAATAATATTCAAGCCAGATGTTATTAATGATACCACTGATTCTATAGAACATTTATGAAGAGTATTCTAAATGACGATTTGAGTCTAAAATATAAGCAAACTCATGTACCTTAATAAAGTTCGTATAGCTTAGAGTTAAAATAATATTCGTTCATTATATAAAGGACAGAATCTATTACATTGAAATGTGGGGACACAAATTATAACATTTGTATTTTATTAGAGAACTAGAAGATTTTCAATCTACTTACGGCATTACGGACACAAACATATGGCGTATGGTTACCATAATAAGGGAATATCGCTCCACAATGTTATAAAATTTTATTCCTGACTGAATTTTATTGGAGTCATTGTGAAATTAGATGCGAATAATTCGGTAACCAGTATTGATTATAGTGACGTAATTACGGTATATGTTTTACGGCAGATTTTAAAATTCAGTTCAACTTTAAGCACGAAGTTAAGGACAAGCTCGACATTCATAAAAAGTGGTGATTCCTTAGGATGTTTCAGGTTGTGGCTTTGTTTTATATATAAAGGTAAACACACCGTAAGTCTAATTAGGGCTTTGGCTCTGGGCCACTCCACCCTGAAAAGGGCAGGTTAGTGTGACTGTCCTACCTGATAAAATCAAATACGGTTCACCTCATGCGGATGCATGAGACCAGTGTCGGCACGAATCTCGGAATATTGGAATCTTGGAACAAATTGTTGATGGCTGGGAGAATTTACACAACGTTTTAGGTATTTTCTGTGATGTATTTAAGGCTTTTATTTATGTTTTTCATGAAATATTTATCACGAATCTTGATATTATGGATTTAGAGATAACTAATTAGATTTTACCATCTCTTAGTCAAGTGGCAGTGCAGGAGGTTCATATCAATGTCAAGAACTTCCCTGAATCGATAGATTATCATCCATCAAAGGTGTTCCACAGGGCTCAAATCTTGGTCCTTTCTTTTTTTGATTTATATAAACAACATACTTTCTTTCGTAAAGGATAATCACAAGAAGTAGTATTACTTCACTTTTATTTAAAACTAGCTGACCCGACAGACTTCGTCCTGTCAAAAAGATTTGTAATGTGGCAGTTTTTTTGCCTACGTATTTAAAAAAATTCTTCTGAACAGAACCGTCACCCTGGTGATAGGGCGTTGTGAATAAAAAATAATTAAATAAAACATATATAAGGATTTAAAAGTAAGTAATCGCTTTATTGTTAATCATGTGAATCATAATTATTATTATTATCATTGTAGTGCTTTGTGGTATACGATGTTTTTTGTTTGATTACCTGGCGCATAGATAAACAAATCTGATGGTTTTCCAACACGGGAACAGGCAACATACAATTGACCATGAGAGAAACATGGGTTTTCTAGATTAATACCACAAACACTTAATGATAATAATAATAATTATGATTCACATGATTAACAATAAAGCGATTACTTACTTTTAAATCCTTATATATGTTTTATTTAATTATTTTTTATTCACAACGCCCTATCACCAGGGTGACAGTTCTGTTCAGGAGAATTTTTTTAAATACGTAGGCAAAAAAACTGCCACATTACAAATCTTTTTGACAGGACGAAGTCTGTCGGGTCAGCTAGTAGCTAATAAGTAAGTCGCCTAAAAATGCTTCGGAACGCGACATTAAACTCCTCCAACTATGTATTCTGTGCTCCAACGCACACACGCACATTGTTTTGATAGATATGATCTTTGACGTTAGGAACACACCTACATTGCTTAGACAACAGTGAGTGCTTGTAATTTAATATGAACTTTATACCATAGCAATAAAGCTCAAATTGACTACGTTTTAGTTACAAATCATTTGTATGGGAAAAAGAAAAGGGCTATTTTTAGGGTTTTTCCAGCAATAATTCTAATTTTTCTCGCCGTAAAAACCATCCTTGAACTTCAACGAACATTTTAAAAAAAGATTTGGCCAAATTGGTCGAGGC